TTTTTGATGCTGAAAACTTGTTTGTACTCAGAAGGCTTTTAAGGACAATTGTATATGTAAATGTAGATGTTTAATATGAAATACTGACATTCCTTCAGTATTGTTAAGAGTTTTCACAGGCAGAACTGTAACAAAACAATGTTTAACATATTGGTTATGGCCAGTTGCATTGCTTTGGCATAACCAAAAGGACTTTAACGACAAACTAGGGGCATTTCCCATTAAAAAATTTCCAATTTGCATGATTATTTTATGTCAAGGTATCAAGGACACAGTTAAAGAAGCAGCCAGCAAACACTGCAGCAGTAAATTAAGTCATAAATAGCTCAGAAAAGAGAAGAGACTGCTGCTGAGGCAGGCAGCAGTTAGAGTGACAGCAAAGTTTGTTCTGCAGGAGAGCAGGGAGATTCAGGATGCACAGAGATTTAAAACTATCATGTGTGAAGTTGAAGTCAAAGATGACTTTTGTGAGGAAAGGGGAAAAACCTTGCTCTGATGAACTGTATAATCTCAGGGATTTCCCTACTCATGTGACAGCTATAGCTGGTCTATAGCTGCACAAATAATTTGGCCTAACAGACACCGACTCAACCAACCTAGGTCGTTGGAGAACAAAAAGCAAACAAGTCCCCAGGTTTAAAAATGACAGGCTGAATTCAAGTTCAAACAAAGGGAGCCTAGTCAGCACCTTTCAACCAGGAATGCACCTGGTTGGGTGCACTGGCCTGTGAGCTGGGTGGAGTTAAGACCTTTGGCCAATCCTATCTGTAAGTGTGGGAAGTTCAAAGCCCCTATAAAAGAGGGTGCACATCAGTAAATGTTGGCTGTTGCTGCCTGAGCCCAGTGTGTCTAGTCACTTGTCTGTCTCTGAAACTGCAACGTTTTTCATACGAAAGTTAGCATCATAAATGGCTCTCCTCACAGAGCACCACATTTTCCCAGTGCTCTAAATGGAATGAATAGGTTCTATGTATGACTTGTGGGTTGCAATTTTTATTGCAATACTTTAAATGAAGGTGGGAAGAAAGGGGAGGCACAGGGAGAAGGATGATGTGTTGATCAGTGTATACAGAATGAGCAATTAGCACTTGCTAGTCATTAAAGTGGGGATGTCAAAGTTGTCTTTTGTAGGTGCTCAAAACACAAAGGTGTGCTACCATCCCATGATCTTCCAACTCCATATTAGGTAAGGAACCTAATTAGGTGATGAACATCCACTGAAGGCAGTGTGGGAGGTAGGGGAATACTCATGAATCTAGTGCAGATTAAAGTCTGACCAGAGCATTGAGTTTATCAGCACTGAGAAGGAGTACTTCCAGTCATGCCCAAATGTAAGCCCTCAGGCCAGTAAGGAGCTCTCCATGAAAGAACCATTGATGGCTGTGACGTTGGCAGCCATGGTCGATAAACTGTGGGATTAGGTGCTAATTGAGCTGAGATTCTGAAGGATTTGAATTGTGTATTGGTGCTTGTCTCCTATCTAAGACTTCTAATGGCTTATGGGTTTAACTTTAATCCTTTAAAAAACATCTTGCTACTCTGGAGAAATCTTTCCAGATGTGCAGTTAGTTCCTGGATAAGAAGAAACAGATATTTCAGTAAAATCTCTGCATCTGGATCCTCACTAATACATTGATCAAATCAGCTCTCTACTATCTGTGATTTCTGAAACCAGTCTTCTGGAGCTCTTGACCTCTGCTGGAGGAAAAGATTTGTTTGCCCATATATGACCCACACAGATGGCAACAGGTATGTGCACACCATACCTTTCATGATCCCAATTATGTTTACTTTCCAAAAGGTGGGAGGTCCTGGATGTCTCTCATTTATCTGTGTTATATTTGGATAATGTTATGGCCTCTAATATGGCAAGCCTAAGACAAGGGAAAATCGTACCTGGGCTCTTCCAAGGTCTTTTAGAGAAAGGGCAAACTGTGAGCTGCATTCACTTCATGTAGTCCTGGTTTGAGGTCCTTAATTGTACAAAGCCCTCCAGCACAACTGTCTCATGGTTAGAGAGAATTCTGTAGAGGAAGCAGGGCCACATTTTTGCTGATACTGTTTCATGATATAAATAGTTTTTTTAAAAAGGTACTTTTTTTGGTGCTTTATCATTATGGTGTCCTTATATTGACTGGCTAGCGTTTCAAGCGTAACAAGATGATATAGATAAAATAAAAATGAAAAATGTGTGGAAAATTAGTTCTTAATTACAAAATATAAGTTGCTCAAAAAAGGAGAGAAAGAGGGTGGAAAGAACCATATGTCCAGATGCACCTAGACATATTAAAATACAGTGGTGCTATGCACCTTAAATACAGTCACATAAACCGTAAAATGCCTTTATTTGTGGGGGGAATGCATGGAAGCATTTCTTTAGAAAGCTATTTGAAATTTAAACATTTGGTATCACCACTACTGGAAGTAACCTGGTCCATGGCCACAGGGATAGTCAGGAATCAGGAACATGGTGATGAAATGGCAGAAAAGGGGCAAAATGGGAGCAGAATTAAAATGGTGCAGGCAGACAACTCTTTGAGTGGCAATGTTTCCCATTTCTTTCCTAAGCACATCCACACTTAGTTTCTGAGAAAGCAGGAAGGACACATAGGCAAATTGCCAACCAGATGGTGCAATCGAATACGAAGAATGCTTTCAGAAGGGCAGTATAACACAGAATTTTAAAATGCTATCATTTGCTTTCCTGATACAATATAGGACAAAATTCACATGGAAAGAGTAAATGTTAACTATATACTCGTGCCTTCTAGTCATCTTTGTGACTTAACTTCAGAAAAGGATCCACCTTTGTGTTCTCCTGTGGTATCCCCTCCTCCAAAGTAATTTAATGCTTTCCAATTATATGTTTCTTTGCAGATTTTCCAGAACTGCCTTATTATGCCCTAAATATGTTTCTGGGAATATACAAAATTTAACTGTGAGAGAAGGGTGAAGTCCATTTTCAGGTCTTCTGCAGTTGCTATTCTGATATAACATGAAGAAAAGAAAATAGTATTTGCTATGTAGGCTTCTATGTAATCACTAGACAAAGATAATATCAATGTGAAATTAGTGGCAGACCAAGGAAAAATAGTATTTTTCATGTTATGTAATTTGCAATTTATTACTGTACTGAAACTATGTGGTGCATATTGTTTTCATTTTGTCTTTGGAATAATTTTTATTCTTTCTTTATTTACAATGTGTTTTTATTTCACTCACAGTGTATTTTCTTTCTATCATAATTTGTCTCTCTCAAAATCAGCCTGTCTATTGCATAGATATGGATATATAGAAATACAGATTCCCACCCTACTCTTCTGACTTGCTTTTAAATTTCAGAAGATACATATAGAAATGCATAAAGATTTGTAGCATAAATATTTTATCATTCTTTTAATGTAATTTTTCTTATTAGTAGCACAGTTTTGTTACGTGATTGGATGTAACAATTTTATGTCAATACATAATCAGAATTTGACAAATCTAGTCGTAATTGAAAAAAGGAAGCCATATCCTGGCAAAAATGTAGGAACCAGCCATCTGTCCTATGTCAGCCTTTTTGTTATATATTTTATGTCTATATCTTGATGTTCTATAAATATATATATGGCATATCTATCGTCTACCTTAATTCTTGTGAATGGCTTCCAAGTGAGATTCAGCTGCAGCATATGAGCATTACCTTCTTGAATCTAAACAAGAGCTGCCTCTTCTTTTCTCTGCCCAGTCCTAGCTGGTCTTTATGTACTCTTGTTGACAAGCATTTGTGGACTACAAATAAATCTGGAAATAAAAGGAAGTTTATAATCCATTGAATAAAATTTTTGATAATTGATTTTTAAAAAATTAATTATTGGAGCACTTTTTTGTGTTTTCATTATCTGGAATATGGAGAACCGTGTTGCCATGTTTTTTCTTAGACTTACTGATTTCTGAATCTATTTATTTAGACCAGAGGGGTTTTTTTCCAGTCTGGATTGTGAGGCACCAAATGTGATGTTCATTCTTTCCTTCTTGGAAATCCCTTTCAGTTATAAAGATTTTACAGGTGAATTTTGACGTTGATGGACATAGAACAAGCTCTGTTGTATTCAGATTGCATTCCCTGTAGCACATGTATAACTTTATTTTTTTCCCAGGTGGGATGAAGAATATTTGAAATCTTACCTGTAATGGTAAAACTTTACCTGACTGGACAATCAGAGACAATGCTGCAGTTCAGCTGGTAGAACTGTATTGCTGATTGAGTCAGTGTGGGGGCTTTTTTGTGAAATTCATATTGCTTCTGGTGGTTTTGCCTGCTGGTCAGAGAAGCTAATCTCCATTTTTCCAACTCCATCTGGGTTCTAAATGCCTTGGTCACTGTTTCCACTGTTTCAGAGTTCCTTTAATCTTTTGAGTTTAATCTTTTAAAGTTAAATCAGCTGTTGTTTTAGACTTTATGTACCTGTCTGAACAGGGCACAAACTTATTTTTGCTTACATCAAGGTCCCCAGAGGTTTTGTCTTTGTCCATAGTAAGTAGTTTTAGCCCCAGTTTTTCTAGGTAACAGCAAATTTCACTCTTGACAAGCTTTTCTGTGAGGGTCTCCTGTTATTTCCTAGAGAAAATACTGACAGAACCAGTTGACAACTCATTTTTGGATAAAAAGAAGTTTGATGTCATATTCTATGTGAAATAATGTCTTGAAAACTTAGCTGGACAGTTGAAAATCACAAATAGCAGGCAATGTCTTTTAAAAGAACTAGAGGTATCATGGTGTTGACATGATCAGTGTTGGTAGTTGATGTGGGGACAACTGGGCGCAATGTTAAATAACAGAAGTTGAGAAATTCCCAACTCCATTTACCTTGGGTGAATCAGAAAAAAAAACCACAGAAGCTGAGTTAGGAATTATTATGAAAGAAATAGAAGACAAATTGGAAAACATGACTGTGTGGAGCTCTGGTTTATTCTGCTTCTTCATGCTATGAGTAATTCTTATGCTCTCATTTCAGAGTGAATATGTGAAGAGTGATAAGGGTGATCAGGCTTCTGGAGCAGCTTCCATGTGATGAAGGAAATTTGACAATCTTCAGCCTGGAGTAGAATCAACTGACAGAGAATTTGATAGAGATCTACAGGACTGGGAATGACATGAAAAAGGTAAGTGGAAGATGACTGTATCTTCTTCACATGTAGGAGCTGAGCATCAAGTGAAACTAATAGGACAGTTCAAAACAAAGGAATGTTTTTTTCATACTCACATCTTAGTTAATGGAACTTCATTTCAGAAGTTGTTAAGGGTGCTGAAAGTTGATATAGACTCAAAACTGAAACAAACTAGTTCAATCCATTCAAAGCTATTAAATAAAAGCATGCCAACTCTTCAGAAAATCCCTGAGCGATAAATGAATGGAAGTTCAGGAAGGATAAATAAGTTTAGTAGCATTTAAGTACTTTTTTCCCCCTTTTTTTTTTCTTTCCTCTGAGTTCACTGTTGCTACTATGATACATAAAATTAGGCGTGTGTTGGTTCAATACCTCTCAGAGCATATCTTTTAAACTTGTTATTTCAGGTTCAGGGTCATAGGAAGTAAATGATTATTTATGAAAGGCAGCAAAAGAAACCACAGCATCGCCTTTCCTTTTTCTGGTGGGCAGTACTTTGCCTCCAGAGTCAATCCTGAGTGCACAAGCATGGTGTTAATGGATGGCTTTACTGGAGCTGTCAGCATTCAATTGGATAAGACATGACACTGGGATTTTGACCATTTGTGGTCATTAAAATTATCGTGTACTTATTATAGTATATTAGAAATTAGCCCTGGTGTCCTGGTTTAATTCCAGCTTATGTGTCTCCTGCAGTTTGACTTGGATAGGTTCTTTTTTCACCCTTCAGTGTGTGCAACTGGTTTACTGGAGAACAGCACTGTAAAGACTCCATCTGGATAAAAATTCAACACAGATTATTTCTTATCTAACACAAAAAACACAGTAAACTGCAACAATTCTTTAACATAACGGGAATGCAAAGGATATGTGAAGAGTTGTATGTTCTGTAAAATACTGGCTATAATTTACACTAAAGGAGGGTCAACAATCTCAGTGAATTGTGTTGAAACCAGCAGAGTTGTATGTCTGTGCATCCGTGGAGTCTGGTGTATTATGAATGACTGGATATGCCTGATGAGGTAGTGTTCTGAATTTTGCACTGAAATTTCACTGAAACAAGCTCCTTGGAATATGCAATGAAATTTCTTTAATGTAGAAGAAAACATGTCATGAGCTTGGATTATAATCTTATCAGATTTATCTTCCTCTTTTTGGATCAAAAGGCTTTTTATGCATCATCAATGTAAAGCAAGGGAGAGAATCATCTGTCTTTGGGCGAATGATTGTCCACATTCTCAGTGAAAGGTCAATGAGTAGTGGGTATTAATTAATCCAGCTGGGCACACAGCATCCCAGGTTTAACAATGTCCAAGCTTTTTATAATGATGACAGATTTTAAGGACCTGCCTTTTAGTAATGGCATCCCATCTGTTTGGGGTTAGAGCTTTCAGCACATTAAGTTTTTTTAGATTCTTCTTTGTAAAGTATGTCTGGTTTGTGGGATGGTCCCAAACATCATTTATTTCAAAGAAAGAAAACCACTGAAAATTTAAGGCTAAAGTCATGAGTAAGAAACCTTTTAGAATTTTTCTGAGAAAACAGAGCAAAAATATTTTCTTTTGAAAACAAAATCTCCAACGGAGACTGTCAAATTACTTTAATGTCCTTCTGAATTTCTTGTTTATGCTCAAATTATGAAATGTACTGTTATTTGATAGGATGCAGCTGAGTGACGGATTTCTCATAGTGCCCAAGTGCCTTTTTTTCCCAGATGTCCACAGTACTGGATTGAAGATCCAGTTCTCTGGTCCTCTGAAGAGTCATGTTCTTCATAGAACACAGCAAAATGTGATATGCTCTGTGTCATTGTGGAGGCCTACCACAGCTTTCTTTTGCTTTTGTTTGCTACAAGACAAAGTGCTCTATGGGGAAAAAAATGTCTTTTTTGCCTTTAGCCTCACCTGTGTGGGGTGTCTCAAAATGTGGTAATGTGTGGTAAATTATGGAATATCAAACTTTTAAATTACATTGAAAAGAGTAGTGAGTGTATTTTGATCTTTGTGCAGCTAATAGACTCGTTATGAGAGAGAGCTTTTCATGTTGTTCTGTGTTAATTATATCTTGGATTTGAAGGAAGATGAGCAAAGCAGATGGACATGAGGCTCATTTTCATCACTAATTTAGCAATGAGCTCTATGTTAGCAGTCTTAGAAGTGTAGGAACGGGTAAATATATGAATTGAATCCAAGATTCTGCGTGTATGTTCAAAACTAGAGTTTAGCAAAATGCGAATCATCTGACATTTAAAACTCTTTCCAGTAAATGAAGTAGTCAAAAGTCTCTTGATGGATGTCCTTTAAGACAACTGAGTAACTCCCTACTACCTACATATTTATAAGAGGT